CTATGAAAAGTGGTCATTTCTCTTTGCTTTCGTTTATAAATAATAGAATAGAAACAGATTGATCACCTTTCCACAAAAACAAACATAAGGTTCACACTATAAATATTACATGTCAGCTACTCTGACTCTAACCCTGTTGTCATGTTTCTGTGGTTTGCACCTGGCTAACAACTGAGAAATAAACTATTTTTTTACTTTTATGTTCTAGCACATTATAATTATAGCTGACATTAGCTAATTTGCAGCATGCCTTGCTGATCTCTCATGGGTAAATCTTGGCTGCTTCATTTGCTCTTGTTGAGGCAGCAAATATAACGACCATCATGCAGATGCTCCGTGCACATCTGCACATTGGTGGGGATTGCAGGTTTCTCAGCTATCATCACCTGAACACACCAAGTGCACCATGCTGTTTATATAAAAACAGCATGTTTATTTGATCTTTAAATATGTCTTTCATTATTTATCTGTGTTTCTTGTCCTCTCTGCAGTCACTGTGTTCTACTGGCGATGCACAAATATTCTCGTTTCAACTTCTTATTGCTAAATGCTAAATAATGAGCTTCAAAAAAATCTGTGGAAAAAAAGAATATGCAGTGCAGACATGTCAGAGAGATTAACATCTGTTTCACACAAATTTAGATGCTCAGGGTTTTTTTTTATTTAGTTATTTATTTATTTTGTCTTTTAGTCTGAGATGCTTTTTGTGGGATGAAAGAGTCAGAGAGAGAATTAGAAAGCAGACAGAGGAGGAGAGCACAACTTACAGAAAAGCAGCAGGAAGCTGCCTGTTTTCTGTCTTTTGTCTCCAATGCCCTTGGAGTACAGCTTTGTGGCGTGAACTCCCATATAACCTCTCTTTGTTCTGAGAAGATGGGACCCTAAGCCATCGACAGCAGAGGGAACAACATACCACACAATGACTCTGCCCTTTTCTTTATTTGGGCCAAAAGACGACATCCTCAGCAGCGCTCCACATCCTCACTCAAGGATTACCTGAGTTAATACAAAATGTTGTTATCAAATAATGATTTAGTTTGTTTGGGTTAAAGGTTACCCAAACCTATCTGATCAAATGTAATTGATCGGTTTTTTAACCATGACTTGATTTTAATTAACCGCATTGTTTGTAACGCTGAGTGCAGCTTGGCTAGCCCCACCCAAGCCTGATTACTACCAGACCTCAGATTTAAGAAATCAATTCAATAGAACCGGTGGATCGAAGTATGGTTAGTTACCTCAAAGGTTCCTGTTCTTAAGCAGTTCAAGAACCACAGATCCCAGAACAGCATCTCAAGCCCAGCAGGGCTCACTTGGTCATGGTGAAGACCTTAATTAAGTGAGGCTTACTGGTGCCAAAAACATCTAGCTAAAGACCCAAGGTGACTGATCGTTTGCTGCTCTGGCCCCCAGACTCTGGAACTCTCCCCCTGAGCTGCAGACGAGTGGACTCAACGGTCTCCTTTAAAAAGCAGATCAAAACTCATCTGTTCAGGCTGGCTTTTGCATAACTTCTTGTTCATCTATATCTTCCTCAGCTTCTTTTCAAGCTGGTGTTTCTGCCATTTCAATCTTTTTGGGGATACTTACCCTTTTTTCTTTGTTGTTTTCATTCACATATTTTATGTTGATTTTTCAAAATTTTTCCCTATTTTTTACTATAATCCTTTTAAAGGGACAACTTTTTCATATTTTTAAATACATTTTTGAGCCATTATGTGCAAAAATGACCTTTTACGGCAGGGGTAGAGAACCCTGGTCCTGGAGAGCCACAGTCCAACATGTTTTAGTTGTTTCCCTGCTTCACCACAGTTAATTCACCTTTTCAGCAGCTCATCAGGCTCTGTAGAAGCCTGTTAATCACCTGCTGATGAAAAACAGGTGTGTTGAAGCAGGAAACATCTAAATTCAATTAAATTTTCAATTTATTTATTTAATAATCAGTACAGTGCATGTTAACATCAGTCACACTGAAACATGCCAGAGTTATCCATAGACTAGTTTACATATGTAGTCCTGTGCCAGTTGTACAGTCGGCATCCTAGGGAGGACATTATAAAACACCTATAGCAGCTCTCTAGGACCAAGGTTCCCTACCCTTTCTGGTTAATGAAAGACCACCCAGCCTCTATCGCCCCCTGTGGCCAGAATATTCTACCTCCAGCTCCACACTGGCGGGTCACTCTGGAGCTGACATACCTGTTGCTGCAGTCTGCTTCCAGCATGTGTCCTGCGTGTTTTAGATCATGAACACAGCTGATTTGTTTAATTTAGTGATGAATCACTCCTGTATACACTAAGGAAGGCTGGGGAGACGTTTCAGCTGTTAGAATAAGGTGTTAAGAAAGACAAACGCATTTCACTGAGATAGATTTTGCTGTTGGTTCAACAAATGGACACTAGGGGGTGCTAAAAGTAAACCAAAATAGCCTTGGACCCTTTAAAAAATCTTTTATTGTATTATTGTTCTTGTGAAGCACTTGTTAACTTTATCTTGAGAGGCACTATTAAAAAATATGTCTTCTTCTTCTTCTTCTTCTTCTTAATGATTACCAACATGTCTGGGGACAAATAATGTGAGCTGGCAAAACAAGAGTGGCATTAGTAGTATATTTATTTATTTGTTTGTTTGTTTATTTATTAGAAAACCGCTCCATCTGGTGCAAATCTAACGCTGCATTTCAGAAAAAAACAAAATCATTCCAACAATGAAAGATGATGTTGGAAGTGGAAAAAAACATATTGTGATTTTTGGAACCATGAATTCTGCTTTTTAACAGATAATTCTGAAGGAGAATGTCAGGCTTTTTTTGCAGGAAAACTCTTCAGTGTGGTTAAACATAAAAAAAATCTATTTCACTGCAATGTATGTACACTTGGATGTTTTGGTTCCATTTTGTTTAAATGCAGTGTATCATTTGCCCAACAGAAACCTGAAAAATCTTATGAAATTAAGAAAGAGCGACATTCATTTGCTGCACAAGAAATGTTGAAACATTGATCAAAGCACAGACAGAAAAATCACTGCCAGAATAATTACGCCGAGGTCGACTGACTACAGAATGATAAAAGCATGTTGTCTCATTTGCATGTCACCTTGGTGAGATGGGCGACATACAATAACGTGGTTGTCATGTTTATGTGTCAGCTAATTAGGTCTGGTGAAAATGAGTCGAAGCTTTGCAGATAAGACAGGAATATCAGCCAGATGCAATGTGTCCTACATCCTGCACCCCAGAGAGAGAAAGACCACAGAAATGGCAGGGATCCAAAAGGAAAAGGTGAAACTGATCATTTCACCTTATTTTCTTTATTATGATAAAAATATTTGTATTTGCGTCCCTGAACTGAGATAATATCAAACTCAGTTACTTGTCTAAACATTTTTATAATATTTGATCTTGTCAAAGAATAATTCCATACATTTTGGTTTATTTACAATTCACAATAAGTGCCATTTAATAACACAGTAACAATTCAAATGAACTTACTTATCAATGCACTGAGTTCAGTTCATTATGCTATTTTTAGTTTGGAAAACCCAGCAGATGCATTGACTCACTGACTTGTCGTGTCGGTCACTTCACAGAAATCCTCATAACAAGCAAGTATATGGCAACAGTGGAAAGGAGAAGTCCCTTTAACAGGCAGAACCCTCCAACAAAGCCTGGCTCAGTATGTCACGACTCACACAGTGCATTTACACGCAAATCTAAGTCAATCTAAAGTAATGAGCTGGGATCCTTTATCCTAGTTTACATGTACAGTAGAAAACCGAACTCAAATGAAGTTTGTTCCACTCCGGTACAGTAGGTGGCGACATGTGCTCATTTTGGAATTCTTCCTGTTAGCTTATTGCAACACAAATACACTGCCAGACAAAAAAAAATATGTCATCACCAAAATAAAGGTCACACACTCCAATATTTTGTTGGACCACTTTTAGCTTTGATTACGACACACACTCGCTGAGGCATTGTTACAAGATTTATTTCCATCCAGTGTAGCATTGTTTCACCAAGATCTTGCACTGATGATGGTAGAGTCTGACTGCTGCACAAAGCCTTCTCCAGCACATCCCAGAGATTCTCAATGGGGTTAAGGTCTGGACTCTGTGGTGGCCAATCCATGTGTGGAAAATCATGTCTCATGCTCCCTGAACCACTCTTTCACTATCTGAGCCTGATGAATCCTGGCATTGTCATCTTGGGATATAATCGTTCCATCAGGGAAGATGGAATAACCTGGTCATTCGGGATATTCAGGTGGCCAGCTGACCTCATTCTTGAAGCACATCCCATTGCTGAACCTAAACCTGACCAACTGTAGCAACCCCAGATCATAGCACTGCTCCCACAAGCTTGTACAGTAGGCACTGTAGGCATGATGGGTGCATCACTTCATCTGTCTCTCTTCTTACCTTGATGCACCCATCACTCCGGAGCTGATTCCATCTGGACTCATCAGACCAGCTTTAATAATGCATTGGACAGGTCTTCCAGTTTTAGTAGCTTCTGCAATCTCCTTAGATGTTTTCTCTGCTTGATGCATGCCAATGATCTGACCCTTCTCAAACAGACTAACATCTTTTCCACCAGACAATTGTTTAAGACTTGAGAAGCAACTTGTTGCATCAGCTGGGGTTAAATAACTTGTTGCCAGCTGAAAGATAATTGCCCATGCAGCAATTATCCAATAGGAGGCTCCTACCTATTTGCTTAGTTAAGTCCAGGTGGTGAAGGAGACAAAGTTAAAACAGGATATGAAAAACGGCCAAAGGAATAGACAACAACAACACTGCAGAACAGCTTATTCGGTACTCTACCGTTTGATGGTGTTACAGATGTTACTTTATGGTGATGATATCAGAAGACTGCTTCCATGATTCAGTCACTGCTGGAAGTTACTGTTATCAGTCCCCCTGAGCTGTTTATATGCAGATGAAGTCAAGTTCCTACCGCATTGTCTGGGTGTTTCTGCTCAATAAAAACCAGGTCGCCTTCAGCACGACAAATGTGTTTACATGCATTTAAAACAACAACACTGACTGTTTACAGCAATAGTTTGCTTTTCTGATGCACATACTGGGGGGTTTGAGAAGAAGGGGCAGATACACAAATAAATAAACAGATGACCTTTCAGTACTTTCTATGTTAAAGAAAGTAAAAGATTCATATGACAGGGAAAATGTTGGCAGCCAATGGCTCTCTCCATGAAGGGATCACAGCTCAGAACATCAGACCTGGTGCAGCTTCTCTAAAGAGAAAAAAACATCTGGAGAAAAACATGAAGTTAACAGCTGAAATAACAGGAAACACTGCAGAGGTTGATTAATGGATACAAATATTGTTTCAAAAAATATGAATAAGAAAGGAAATACAGCGAGGAACATACATATTTGATCGCCCTGCGATTTAGCAAGTTCTCCCACTTAGAAATCATGGAGGGGTCTGAAATCCACAGTGTAGGTGCAATCTTACTGTGAGAGACAGCATTTAAACACATATCAGGAAATCACATTGTATGATTTTTGACAAATGTTTGTTTTTGTATTGCACTGCGGCAAATAAGTATTTATGTCCCTGACCTGAGAATATAATTACCTCAGTTCATTGTTTAAACATTTTTGAATATTTAACCTCGTCAAAGAATATTTCAATATTTAGTTTTATGTAGAATATGTAAAAGCAGCTCTGCCTTAACCGGTTTAGAATGAACAAAATTAAATGCCATACTGCAGATGAATCCCAGGTTCCCACGCACGATTTTAGAAGAGTTTCATAATTTACCAAAGCCTCCCTTTTTCTCTGTTTTCACACCTTCTTCGTTTACTTGCCACACACTATCGTTCTGGGGGAAGCTGGAGCAGCTGAGCTGAAGAGACAGTGTGTGTGTGTGTGGGGGGGGGGGGGGGGGGGGTTGCAAAGGGCGTGTGAGAGTCGTGGTATCACTGTCGAGTGCTGGACTTTGGCATTGACCGTCCATCTGTCACTTTTCTTCCCTCTCTAGCACTGATGGGTAATGGAAATGGCAGCCAGTGACTGATGAGTAATGTTCTGCTGGTATGAGACACCTCCCTCGGAATGCCAAAGGGGTGCTGTTTTTTTCTTTCTTTTTTGGGGGTGACTGAGGCTGTCTTAGTCCTAAAATCTCATGAGGTGATGCCAAGAGGACGCCGCGTCTTCCCCCTCTCATGCACGAGGAAGGAAGAGCATAAATGGTCACTGAAAATATTAGATTACAAAAGGCTTTAACGATGGAAACACGCGCAGGCGGACAGCAGAGAAGGAGGGAAGCTCTGGAGCTGCTCCATTCAGTACGTCTTGACTGAGGAGCTCAGACGTGTCTTATCTTCACCTCAGTATGCGCAGGCGTGATCCTATCTGAGCCCCGCAAAAAAAAAAAAAAAAAAAAAAGCTGTTACCATCCAGAACTAGACGTCGTGCGCGTTGTTCCTCGTGCGGAGCAGAATTTTCCATTGGCTTATGTTCATATGTAAATATATATTATTATTTTAATTTTTTGCAGTTTTTTGTTGTCCAAAGACAGCCTGGAAATGAGAGATGTTCTCCCTGGCTGATGTCTCAGAAGAACCCTGTCCAACCTGTGGATAGCGTGGAGCGCGTCTGTGGCCACCGGTCAGCCTCCGCTCTCCGGGACGCTCGTCTTTCGGCTCACTGAGCGCGACTGGCACCATCTGCTCCGATTCTGTGCGTCAGCGTGGCATCCCGTGTTTGAGCCCAAGCTGTGTGCAGGCATTCAGTTTATGAATGGCACTGACATGGAGGAAATACCGTTTCAGAAAGTCAAAACCAGGCGGAAGAGAAGTCACTGCCCCCCGGGCGTCCCCTTGACCACGATCGCTTGCGAGGACGAGTTCGACTGCAAGGAACTCGAGTCCCTCTTCCAGAACTACAATCTGAAACTGGAGCAGACGTCCACCCTCAAAGCCCTGGCGGTCCTCATCTTCGCTTCTGCCACCCTGGCTGTGGTGGAGTTGCTGTCCGGCCCCAGCCTCACCATCTCCAAAGGGTCCCACCCGGTTCACGGCGTCATCTTCCTCTCCCTTTTTATAGTAACTAATGTCAAATACCTGCAAGTGACTCAGCTCCAACAGATCGTGAACCTGACGCTGCTCTTCGGGTTCACCTTCTCCTTCCTGTGCTGTCCCTTCTCCCTGGGCGCGATGGGAATGGAGCCCCCGACGTCCCCAGACCAGGGCGTGTGGCAGCTCATCCTGGTCACCTTCGTCGCCTACGCGCTGCTACCTGTGCGGACACTCCTGGCTGTTGTTTTTGGGATCATGGTGTCCGTCTCGCATTTGATTGTGACCGCAGCCTCGGTCACAGTGAAAACACAGAAACTCTGGAGAACGGTGAGTAGGTGTCACGCTTCAGGTTTGTAATATTAAATTAATAGACGAGTTTAATGACCATATGTATGAATAAAAGTTGTTCTTTCACTAGATATAAGATATCAAAAAGCCAAGAACGAGATACATGGTTTAGAGTTGGTTTCAGCACCAGGGACAGCTCCCTAACTAACGAAACGATCTTCTTAGGTTTCCACAAACTGAGTCAAATGATTCAGCAATACCAACATTTTCTCATTTTGATCAGAAACTTGATCTTTAACTTTGCCGAGAAGCTGTGGCTACATACATTTTGTGCAAGCATGAGTTTTCTTTTTTTTTCCCCCATACAACATTGATAAATCGTTGTTTGTATCTTTCCTCAAACATGGTGAAAGCGGTACGTTGTGTTGATGTGTGCAACATTCAAGCCTGTTCGTAAACCAGTGGCATTATCTTCGAGGGAATCTTTCAGTCCCAAAGGAGTTGGCTTGAAAGCGAGACGCCCTGCTCACACCAAAAGTAGGGCAACTTTGAGGGTCGCAGACTTGAACTACATGCTTCTGAAAAAAAGAAAGAGGACAAAGTCACGCTTGTTAGTTGAGAGCTATAAGAGAAAATGCTGAACAATTTAAATATCTATTTCTGTCACATTGGTGTTGTCACACAGGGAAAACTCCTTAAGGAGGGCCTGGAACCTTCTGCTTACATGCAACATGAAGATTCAGGATTGGGGCAGAATAAACAAGACATTCATCACATCATTAGATTCGGACATGTTTTAGTTTTTTTCCTGCTTATTATCTGTGATGCCTGCGTAGCCAGGTGAAGGCTGGCCGTGCAACCAGAAACAGCTAATCCATTAAGCTCAGACATGATGTTATGTCCCCGACAGGTGTTGTTAAAAAGTGAGGGATGGGGGTAACATGAAGACTGGACAGTGGATATTAAAAGGGTTTTATTGTAAGAAAAAGATTCTAAAAACATGCAAACAGATCTCTCTAAAAGGTTAACATCACAACAAATTATCAACTATAAAAACACCTGGTTAGAGCTTTGTTAAAAGCTTAACCGAACGAAGGTGTTTTAAAAACCCGAAGTTGATAAAAGTTCCAAAACAATATACTGACTAAAACACCTGGTAAAAACTTATTTTAAAAAGCTTTACCACAACGAGGGTGTTTAAAACTGAGATCAGTAAAATTGCCACAAAGTTAACCTTAAAACCAAACTGCAAAAAAGATCCCACTGGATCGTCCAAAAACTTCTTACTAAGAGTTAAAAACCAAACCAAAGTTTAAAACTCATCCACATGAATCTAAACGAAAGGGGTTGAAACCAAACTAAAAACCAGGAGGACAGCAGAACCCCTGCACTGCTGCCTCCCAGACTGCTGAAGGCACAGCCTTTTATACAGGTGTTGGCAATCAACCAGATGCAGCTCAGCTGTGCTCCTCAGCAGCCTGGGAGAGAGGAGAATGAGGCCTAGTCCACACGTAGCCGGTTTAAAAAAAAAAAAAATATCCGCCCCTCCAAAAAATTGTATCCACACCACCTCATTTAAAAAAACAAAACTCTGTCCACACGTACCCGGATAAATGCGTTGTTAAGGACATGCCAGACCTGTAGGCGGCAGTACTTCCCCCGTTCTTAACCTCGTCCTTCGTCTGTGGTCTTCCGCAAGGAGCAGTAATTCCGCTTGAAAAAACAAACAAGCAAAAAGCGCTTGGACAATTGATAAAGCGAGCGCAGCTCTGAGGGCATCCATGCTGTCGGCTAGTGTAAACACAGGTCGCACACGTGATGTCAGCATTTTTTTGTCGCGGGAAGTGACGTTGCGGACCTTAAAACTCTGGTTATGTCCGTCCACACGCAGACACCCAAAAGAGAGAAAACGCAGATCTTCACTTTGGCCGGAGTTTTTAAAAAGATCAATTTTTGTGTGAAAAAACTCCGTTTTCGTGTGGATGACAGGCCAAAACGTAGAAAAATATCTACGTTTTGGCAGATCCCCGGCTACGTGTGGACAGGGCCTGAGGGGCGGTGTCAGGCTGATTCACCAGAGCTGGGTGATCCTGGCTCCTGCTCTTCCCTGGCCAGACTGGCAACCGTAACACATGAGCTGTGTGGAGTGACCCCACACATCCCAGCCACCATCATCCCTACTTCCACAGAACAGTGAAAAATGTCAATTCACAACTTTATAGGTGAAAAATGTGCCTCTTACCTGCTCGATCAAAATAACCTCAAACTCGTCACCATCCACATGTCACTTTAGGACCGCTTTGTGTCACCTTTGTGCAGACTGATGCTGTTAAGTTTTAAAGGGATTCTCTGCAACTTTTTCCATATTTTAAATTGTTTTCATGAGCCTGGATGTGCTAAAAAGACCCTTTACAGGATTAGTGAAACATCACTTAGACTCCCACTGCCCTCTGTGGCCCGAATACCGCATTTGCAACTTTAGAGTGCCGGCCGCCACCTGTGGACATAGAAAAAAACTGAGTTTACATACCTGGCACTGCAATCTTCTTCCAGCACATTTCCTGCATGTTTTAGATCATGAACACAGCTGATTTGTTTAATTTAGTGATTAACCCCTCTTGTAGAAACCGATGAAGGCTGAGGAGATGTATCAGCTGTTAGATGAAGGTGTTAAAAAGGCAAAATCACAGCCAGGAGACAGTTTCACTTTTGTTTTGACCACAGATAATTATCAACGGGCACTAGGGAGTGCTAAAAGCAAGCAAAGTACATACTATCCCTTTAAATGTTGTACTGTTGGATTGTACTTTGCAGTTTTGTCAAATCTAGTGTCCAGCTGTTGTTGTTTAATACCTCTAAATGTTGTACTAAAGCCTTGGGAGAGTGTTCATTTTTGCACATGTAGTTGACAATAAGATGACCTTAACCTTGCATGACTAAAATGAAAAAGAATTATAATTTACTACATTTCATTAACTTCCTCAAGCTTGAACGTACTGGGTGGCAGCAAAACATTTAAAATGAGCCATGGCTGAATTGATCTTCACTTTGCATCAATTGGCCTATACTTCCCAACTTTTTGGCTTTCTGCTGAGTTGTGTAGACCAGTACTAACTCTAACAACATTATAAAGAAAACAACAACGTGATTAAAACAAATGTATTTGTACACACTTCAGAAATGATCACAGAACCATGCCTGTGTACAGAGCCAGCCTCTCAGCAGCATCACTGTGGTTGAAAGTTGTGTCCTGCACAAGGTTAAATGTTTTGCTGCAGCTGCTGTGATGGATGATCAGAGCACAGGTTCTCAGGTGATCGAGCACCAAAAATACTCTAAATAAAGACACACATTTTCTCTTTTCCACCCATCTGTGGCGCACTGACCTTACTCAAGTTTCAAGATGTTGAAATTATATAAATTTAGTTTTTTTTTGCACTTTTTTGAGAAATTAATCACAAGACATATACATAAATCACTTGTCATGACAAAAAATAATTAAGGTGACCAGCAAACGACATCTTTACTCAACACTGCATGAGCCTGATCCAAAAAGTTTAAACAGTGCCTCATATTTATCTGTTTCACAGCTGGTTGCAAATACAGTCTTGTTCACCAGTGTCAACCTGTCAGGACTGTTTGTGCGCATCCTAACAGAGCGTGCTCAGAGGAAGGCCTTCCTGCAGGCTCGCAACTGCATCGAGGAAAAACTCCGCATGGAGGATGAGAACGAGAAACAGGTAGAAGCACCTGTACACTCACCAGATCAGAGCTTTAATTAGATGTGTTCCTCAGATCCAGGTGTTAGTCTTCATGCCTTTTTGTCTACCACATTTCTTTCTGCCACTAACATGTCTTTTCCTAAAAAAATGTTCCTGTGTTTCACTTTATTAATCACAAATGCTTTATATTCTTACCCCCCCCCCCCCCCCTCTCTCTCTCTCTCTCTCTCTCTTTAACACTTGCAAAAATACAGGAGCGCCTGCTAATGAGTCTGTTGCCCAGGAACGTAGCTATGGAGATGAAGGAGGATTTCCTAAAACCCCCTGAAAGGATCTTTCACAAAATCTACATCCAGCGTCATGACAATGTCAGGTAGGAGTGTGTGGTGCGATCAGCTGAGCTGACTCAGGTGTCGTGACTTTTGGTGGCTTTTAATTTTTTTTTAGAAATATTATATTGGTAACAAAAAAGACAAAATTTCAGAAAAGATGTTGCTTTTACAGTGTCTTTCTTTTTCTTTAAAGCTGGTATTAAATTTTTGAGTAACAACAAAAAAAATCCTTAGAAGACTGCAGCGGGAGAGATGGAGAAAATTGGTTTGCTTTCTTTAATTTTTAGCACATTTCTACAAAACTGCAAATAAAACAATTATTTTAACAGTTGTCGCAATTAACTTCAGTTGGAAATACATTTTATAAATGCTTATTTATTATTTATTTACAACCATTTTCATTTCAGGCAGAAGCAAAGCAGCTCTAGCAAACTAACTGAAGCTGTACCTGAATCTACCTCTTAATTTGTGGCAAATTAAAATCCTCACATTAAGTATGCAATTCTCCAAATTCCCCTCAAGTGCACGGCTATGAGTTCTTATTAACTAGGGCTTTAATTCCAGCTCATACGCTTTCCTTTATATCACTGGTTTGAAAGCGTTTGACCTTTAACTCTTTGTCAGAAACCAGTTAGGCAGTTTGAAAAAGACAAATAAAACAACACACCAATCACGTTTCCATTCTCTCATAGTTTCCTCAGCCTGATTCCTCCTTTTTTCTGTGCTCCACCAGCTGTATTGTCAGATCTGCTCTCTCAGCTCTAACGTTTCCTTGTGTTTTCATCTCATCTTTGGCACTTGTTCTCCTCCTCTGTTTTCTCAGAACAGCAGGGAGGCTCGAGGACGAGAGTTTGCTTAGCCTCTGGATTAAGTTGCTGCAGGGGATTAAATGCAATGGAGACTAAATTCTTGTTGTGTAATGCTCTTGCGGCGTGCGTGCGTGTGCTTGCGGGTGCACTGCGCGCTTGGTAAATATGGACAGATCTCTGTGGAGCCCCGCTGATTGCTTTTTTCCTTGAAATCTTTTGAAGCCTCCTTTTAAGACAGATCTATCTAGGTAGGAAATGACGTAATTTCCGGAGGACTATATTTGGAAACTAAACCATGAGAAGTACAGTGTACTAGAAATTCTTATTTTAATGTAAGAATGTCTGAAAAGGTGATTCAGGATCAAACCCTAACCCTAATCAAACCAGAAAAAAAGGGTTTGAAAATGAAACGTGATGTGTGGACTATTTATAAAAACTTAGTTAAATCAAAGTCTAGCACAGCTGTTCATTGCATCCATCCATCCCTTTTCTGAACCCGCTTTGTCCACTCAGGGTCGCGGGGTGGGGGGCTGGTGCCTATCTCCAGCGGCCAATGGGCAATCAGGCGGGGTACAGCCTGGACAGAGAGCCAGTCCATCGCAGGGCAACACAGAGACACACAGGACAAACAATCATGCACACTTACACACACACACACACACACACACACACACACACACACACACACACACACACACACACACACACACACACCTAAGGACAATTTGGACAGACCAATCAACCTAACAGCCATGTTTTTTTTGGACTGTGGGAGGAAGCCGGAGCACCCGGAGAGAACCCACGCATGCACAGGGAGAACATGCAAGCTCCATGCAGAAAGATCCCAAGCAACAGCTCTAACCACTGCGCCACTGCGCAGCCGCTGTTCATTGCACTCTTCATATTCATTAATATTCAAACAAACAATAAGCTCTTGAATCAAAACCAAGCAAAATACAATACAAACACATTTAGAGAATTGTTATAAAGTAAATGAAAGATACTAATGAAAGCTGCTAAACTCATTTGTATATATTTATTTATTTATTGTTGACAAAAACACATTTACATTGTAAAGTTGGTTAAATGAGCTCTTAAAACAACTGAAGAAAAAATAAATAAATTCAAACAATCTCAAATCACCTGCTGGGGTCTCTGACACAACAATATGCAATTGGTGCAGATGCATATTTGCACAAATACATAATAATGTGCACAGTCTAAAAGTAGTCATAAGCATGTTGCACTTTTATTAAACTAGCGTCGGCATATCTGCTGCCCATGTAACATTTCCAGAGGGGTCCATCCAGTGCAAACCCGTGGACTGACACGCGGCTGGTATCTTCAGCTTCAGATTAAATTGACATCACGTCTACCTAGAGTAGCAACAGCAATGCCTCCCAGAGAGGAGAAGGAGATGTTTGCATAGTTGGAGAAATAACTTTCTACAAATAAGTGCCAGTGGAAAGGAAATGATGAATGAGGGCGTGTGTGTGTGTGTGTGTGTGTGTGTGTGCAGTTAAGTGAGAGATGGGGATGGTTGTCTGATGACCTCCGATTTTTTGCAGGATTAATTGTTTTTGTACTCTGTGGCTTGTTTAGAAGAATTTCTGCAATTTTCCCTAAAAAAATCTTCAGCTGGAGCAAGGCTTTAAAGTTCCACAGCCCTAAAAATGTTTTAGTGATAAAAGCAGTGCTTGAATAGCTTAATTCTGTCGTTGTCACGCTTTTTTCTGTTGCTTTCTTAAAGAAGTCGTTGTATTTTTGTCAGTTTTTCCCCAGCTGATTAAGATGTTTTAGTAGGAATGAGCTTTTCAACAAAAACATGCATATTTCTTTTAAGAAACGTACTCTGTAGCACGCATATGCAAAACTTAGAAAATTTGTCAAACTGATGCAATTGATGTTGTTTTAGCTTCTTATTGGTTACAGACATATATCAGGTGTTGACAAAATCTCTTAAAAAACTAGTGTTAAATATAAGAATGTCACCTTAATGACAAGGAAATTAATTTAAAAAAGATCATCTCACTGCTGATTTAGAAAGATTTACTGCTGTTTTATGGAGGACATTTGCCCTGCATCTGTGCATCATTAATTGCCACGAGAATTTAGGATCCTGTATTTAGTTTAATGTGTTTCCAGAAAAGCGTAAAAGTAGAAAAAAATAATATCTAAAATTGTATACTGGGATGTCTTTTGAAGATTGTATGAAAGTCAGCTACATTTTTGTATTGTTTTACAACAAGGAACTTTTTTTCTTAGGTTTCTTCAAAGATTAAATCTTAAACAATCAATAATTTCTTAACACATCTGCAAATAAATTGTGAGCACGAAACCTTAGTTGAAGAAAACATTTTCTGTAAATGTTCTAAATAGTTATTACTGCCGATGGTTGTTAGCTGAAACATCTTACACTAACGGTATCTGTTGCCCCTCATCACAGTGACATCTGCGAGACAACAGAGTGACATTTAACAGGTCTCGCTTAGAGATCCAGCACTCTGTCACACTGTGAAAATCCCAAGCACACATGAAGGTAACAGGCTGTTATCAGCACAAGGACTGCAGAAATGCTAGTTGTTCGGGACAGTTTCATGACTAATTTCCTTCGCACCATCAACCACCACACAGCACAAAAAAAACAAAATGTTTCTTTTCTGAACACAAGGAACAAAAATGTAGGACACTTCTGAAGGCAAGAAAGAAATAATTTGTCAGAGTATGTCATCAAATTGTAAAAAGAAACATAATTGGAGCTTTTGAATTCTTGAAATTGAAATTGTATATATATATATATATATATATTATATATATTTGACTTCCTGTTATCTGTAGCAGCTGCAACGTCCTCAGTCCACATTACAGCCAATTTCTGATTAAATTTCCTAAAAAACCCATAGATCTCATTCTGAAGAAATGTTTGCACATTTTCAAAGCACATCCCTTGTTTGTGATTGGAACCTCATCTCATAGTAACCTCAGCATGTTTTTGTTACATTTAGAATATAATACAGAAAAGGACAATAAATCCTCTTAACTGCAAGTTTTCAAATAAAACCAGGATAAATCCTTCATGTTTGATGCACCAATAAAATGCTTATTAAGATCATAAGGTCTGGATTTCTCTAAGAGCCAGGAACAATGTGTGCACAAATAAGTAGTATGCCTGGAGATGTTTACAGCACCTTTACAGTTGCATGATATCTTCCAGTGGCTCCTTTGCAGCTGCGTCGACCCCCATGAGGACGCTCCTGATGCTTTATTTCATTTGCTCTGCTCGACTGCATTCCCAGTCAGAAATTGGAAGAGATTCTCTTTAGCGCCTCTTTTTAAGCATTTATTATATTTTTCTCTAGGCAATTCTCATTTTCTCTGTATCCTAAAAGGACCGTATAACAGTGCAATCACTAACTCGTTATTTAGTTTCTTTGAGACACTGCTCATACTATCTTTGACCTGCACTGACTAAAGTGTTTCGTTTCTTTCGGTTACAGCATCCTGTTTGCAGATATCGTTGGTTTCACCAGCCTGGCCTCTCAGTGCACAGCCCAGGAACTGGTTAAGCTGCTAAATGAGCTGTTTGGAAAGTTTGATGAGCTCGCCACGGTGAGTCCGTCTCTCTCCTTTGAAGCCACATCCCTCAATTGCAGCCACCGTTGGCACTCAGAGCAGCTCCTTTTCTCTCTGTGCGTTAAATGCTTTGTCCAAACTGTGGCACAGCAGTGTGTGCATGTCTGTGTAAGTGTAAACGTGTGTGACTTTATTTCTTTGGCCACAGGCTACTGGCACATGCCTGTAGCTCAGCATGATGTCACAGTGAATATTGGAAACCCATACGATGCTTAATATGATTATCTGGAGCTTCATTTGAAGACGAGTTGACAGACCTCTTTAATCTCAGCCAGATTTACCCACAGCTAAACCTCGCCTCCTCACTTGTGTGAATGAACCAACCGGGGGGAGATGAGCTCTACTCCGTACGGATGTGGAAAAGATTTCAGCTCTCGCATCGGTCAATATGGAACTCACGCATGATCACTCAAACTTTTTGTTTTGAAACAGAACTGAGCTATATGGTTAAAGTTGGGTAAAGTCAAATCAAAAGCAGATTTTGAAGTTCATGATTTACATTTTACCTGTGTGTAATCTGGCCTCCATCACTTACAACAGGCGCGTGCCCTTGTCAAATCCACTAATCTGCAGGATTAAATCAAACCTTTTTTGCCGTTAGAAGGGTTTACTTGGCCCTGTTGAAAGCTTCTATTTTTAACTTGTTTGATTATAGGCACAAATTTAGAAAAAGAAGACAAGACAGCCTCTCTCATCGGCTTCTTGGTCTCGATCGTTGTTGTCAGCGCCTTTCAGATGAATTTGGAATAACTTGTTTCACCTGACTGCTGCTGCATTTGCTGGGTTTTGCTAGTCAGAAGAAGCTTATTTTTGCCTCTTAGAACGCTTTCATTTTGTTCTCTGACTTTATTTTAGCTCCATGATGGATTTTCACCCTTTCACTCTTCAGATTTCAGCCGTACAGAAAAGAAAAGCCTGGTTTGTTCTGCGCTTGGCATCAATCTCGGAACGTCACTTTACCCTGAAAGGCTCTCCCTGCAGCCATTTAACAGGCCGTCAGATGTTCTTGCCTTGCCCTGACCCAAAACCACACATATTCTTATCCACTTTGGCAGGAAGTGGCGATGCCAGTGACTCATAGCCGTGGTCACTCTGGGCATGCAGGCTCCCTTTCGTCCCATACGAAGAGCGGGTGATGCCACATGGCCACTGGGCATCGTCTCATAAAACTATTCCAGCACCATCCCCACACCACCTGTCCACTCTTTGGACTTGTCAAGCTGCACGGGAAGTGGGCCAGGAACACAGTGTTCTCCTGAAGTGCTGTTGATGTAGCAGACTAAGGCTCCTCTGCTCTATTCTCTCTAAATTTTTAACATGAACGAATCTAAACTGGGCTTCATCTAAAGGCTCACTCTCCTTCTGCCTGACCATATTCATATAGCTCCTAAATGTAATTTTTAGCTGTTAATATTAGCACGTGTTTCCTTTTTAGGGCCATTTTCTGCATTTCACTTGTATTTTCTTCTTTATCAAAACACATATGCAGTGCAACTATGTTGATTATTTTAGCTAATCCCAGTTTCTTTGATAATCGTTACTGCACAGTCAATACATAAGCAGCAAAGGCAATAATTTCAACTCCTTGCAAAATTACATGTCTGAAAATCGACTTCATTGCCCATCTGTGAGACCATTACTGGTGACTACAAGTTCATTACTGACACCGCTTTTAGATCTGATTTCATCAACACCAACTTAAATGAATTAAGGTCAAATGCAAGGTGTGCACGTTTCCCCTTTCAGACTCCCTTTCAAAAGAAAGCATCAACTTCAAGGAATTAACTGGAATAAAACTAAGAAAATAACATCCCTAGGATGGCTCAGGGGGTGGGAGTTCGCCCTGTAAATGGTGGGTTGCCAGTTTGAACCCAGGATCTGTTCGTGTCAGTAGTTGTCTCCTTGGGTGAAACATTTCACCCTCCTTACAATGTGTCACAGGCAGAGTACAACATTGCCTTTGCACTTGGTGAGATTCTTTGTAAACACTCAGTGAAGATGTACAAGTGAATCAGAAATCTGTTCCTGTGGCTTGTGGTTACAATCCTCAAAGATAGATGCTATGTTGATGCATCAAAGAAGGGAGAACTTCCGGAGTAATTCCTGCTGTAGATGCTGTTTGTGGTAAACTTAGTTTTCAGAGAACATTTTCTCGTCTGAGCTCATCAACTTAGTGTCTCAGTTAATTGACTTGAATGAATTAAGTCTTTTTTTTAATAGAAATAAAAAGAAATTAAGAGGACACTCCATCTCTTCGGTCAGCATGTAATGTTTGGTTTTGAGTGCTCATATTAGCACAAAAACATTTGAGCTTTGCCTCCTGGTTGAGAATTTCTTGACTCATCGAGGACATGGACAGAAGACACATAGGAGGTCCTGCTGCAATCCAAACTTGCTTTGAAATGTTGGAAAAAAATCATATTTGCTAAGTTGGTTTAGGCATCAATAAAAAAAATGTCTTATTGTAGTGAGAAGATCAGCTTGGAGAGGATGTGCTTTAGTGTGTAGCATGAATAGTTCTGTATAGATGAGCCCTCTTGTGCTTGTGCACACGGGTGCCGCTGCTGCTTCCATGGCACAGCTTCACAAAGCTTTTTATTCTCGTCCCTCTTTTCTCTCCTCTTGCAACACCTCCCTGCATCACAGCTTTCAGACTCCTCCGCTCCTTGTTTCTCAGTTTTTTTGATTGACAAGCGGCAGCCTACTTCCCTTGACTGTGTCTTTAAAGCCCCGTGGTTCTCTGCACTCGCTTCCTTATTATTATTTTTTTCGTGTTTCCATTTTTAGGATGGCTCAATGATGGCTTTATCTGCTGTCTTTCACGTTCTTAGCGAGTGAGAGTTTTGTTTTTGTTCTGTGAATGCTCACGGAAAAAATTTCAACACGCACGAAGATCACGGAAACCAATAAAGAAATATTTCTGCCTGGAATTACATAACGAATACTATATAGCTGTATTACCCTATATTTGAGGGCTTAAATTGCTCACACGATTGCAGCTGCCTTCCTGAAAACTAAAATCTGGTCAAATAATCCTGTCTGGGTTTGTCTCACAAGCAGATGCAAGGATCAGTCCCAAGCACTGCTGTTTCCCACAGATGCCTGTGTACTTAAAACTGTAGACTGCAGCAAAACCCCAACCAAATAAGCCAGCTTGGATCCTCGACAGAAGAGTAAAGAGGATAAACATTTCTTAGAAAAAAGCAACCTGCAGAGTTTCTCTAGTGATTCTGCTCAGCTCATAATGAAGCAGATTAAAAGCCAAGATGACCCGATGCGGCACGAGTGCTTTTTAGCCTTCAGGTCTACGTTTTTAAAATACGAAGAAAAGTTGTAAACTATTTGTGTACTATAAATATATTTCAGTATGATTTGCTCAAATGCAACACATGTTAAAAAAAATGTCTTTTTTAGTTTTTTTTTTTTCCTAAGGTGGAACTATGAAAAACTCTTTTTAATGACTTTATCTCTGGTCACTGAGACTTTTTCATGCAAGCTGAACATGAAAATAGTCTCCAACACCTATCTCCTGCATTAGCTTCTGTTTAAAAATTCTGACAGAGTTACATCACACTGTCACTGAACATTCATGTACTCATCTATTCTGACTCATGACAGGGAAGACTGTTGTTGGTTTAGCTTCCAGGAAACAGCAGAGAACATCTCAATTAGTAGAAGCTAACCGTTAGCATTAGCAAAACCACCCCAACTCCTCCAGGCTTCTGTTATTTGTGGAGATAAAACATCAACAATGCAAGTCAGTGGTAGTCATGTTGCTGTTATCCAATCTGAGGCAAGATGTCCAAATATCAGGAATAAGAATCCAAATCCTGCCGTGTTGTGCCACTCTATGCTGCAGCAAAGTTGTTGGTGCAGCCGCAAGTAGTTATGGGCTTTTTGTGCAAGGCATTAAAGGGATACTTGGCAACTTTTTAATATTTTCAAATCATTTTCTTGAGCCAGTATGTGCTAAAATGATCCTTTACAGGGTTAATGAGAGGTCACCCAGCCCTCAGTGCCCCTTGTGGCCACTTGCAACTTCAGAGTTAATGGAGCTGATATACCATGCTGCAGTCTGTCTCCAGCACTTTTCGTGCATGTTCTAGATAATGAACACTGCTGATTTGTTTAATTTAGTGGGGAATCACTCCTGTAGAGACTTAAGCTAGGTTTATGCTTGACACATTCACTTTCCGCTTGGTGATGCGGCTCGCGGCTGGAACGCGCTTCACAACTCACAGCGTTTATGGTTCGTGCGGCTTGTCTCTGCAGTGAGCCAATATTCTCCCAAACTGTAGGGGGCAGTATGGACCTCTACGGCATGCATCCAACACTACACCACAGTAGAAGTAGAAATTACTGTTTACAACATGGCATTTCAGCATTTTTTAACAGCGTCCTCGTCTTTTCCGACAGTGTGAGCTATTTCTCTCCAAGAATTATTAACAACATGTTGATCACGGTGATCTCTGAGAGCTGAATCATACAAATGTCTGTATTTACGAACCTCTGCCATACTAGTTCTTGCCGGTCCGCCATGTTTTTCCGCGTCCGACCGTCCGCGTGGTTAGAAATTTTCCTAGGTGCGCGTTGCGGAAACTTTGGGCCGTGCGGAGACGCGGTGGAGGGGCGTGGTCGTTAAAATTACACAAAATTACGCAACTTTTCCGCGCGGAGCCGTGCGGACCTCGCGGACGCGTCAAGCATAAACCAACCTTGAGGAAGACTAGGGAGACCTTTCAGCTGTTAGATTAATGTGTTAAAACGTGAACGCACAGCAAGGAGATAAGTTTTGCTGTCAGTTCAACAAATAGACCCTAGGGTGTGCCAAAAAAGGCCAAAACACACAGTCTCTCTTTAATTCCTACCAGAGACCACTGCAAATGCATTGATTAAATGAGTTTCCCACACCTTTAAAATATGTCTGCTTTTGAATTTGTTTTAATTAAAATAGTTGAAAAACACATTATTGGGTT